GGCCTTACGAGTGATAAATTCCCATCACAAAATGTCAGATCTAATACTTTCCTCTGTCCCAATCCTTTCTTCAGCCCCTGGAAAATGTCTGCTAGTTGACAGGACAAAGTAGGATTTGGCAAATTGTTCCATTTGAAAAGATGAGAAAGAAAATGTTTCTGATTTCTCAGTCCAGCCTGGCTTGGTGCTTCCTCCCCACCACCAGCTTTTTAGGGGCAAGGCAGTGGTGAAGAGAATAGAGCTGGAAAGCTGAAAATGGTTAGCTGTTTTCAAAATAAAATGTAATTGTGCTTTAAAAGGGCCCAAACTGAAATGAAGTGAGTTATCAAACAAAATGTTTGAATTGTTCCAAATCAAAGTCATTTTGGTTTTCTAATACACAGCTTTTGTCTTATTTCTAAGAATTGCCATCATTTGGAAAGAATAAAAAAAAAATAATCTAAGATTAAAAATAAAAAAAACAAAACCCACCAAATTGCATAAAGGAGAAACCTTTCTCATCCTTATTTTTCCTGGTCTGTGTAGGACAAACTGTACTGGGGACCGAAAAGCCTAACTCATCCTTGAAGTATTGGATGTGGGACCAGGCACAGACCCCTTTGAGGAGGGTCAGCCACCCTTGCAGAGCAAGAAGCATTTGTTTCCAGGACAGTATTGGATGTTTTCCCTCCCTCCCTCCTCACAAGGAGGGTGTTTGTTACTGAATGTGCTACTCTGAGCAATAGAAATAACTTTAAAGCTGAGATGAAAGGGGAGAGGCTGCAGTATCCTGATACTGATTGCCAGTTATGTTGCCCTCAGTGGGAATTTCACAAGATACTGGTGGAGCTGGGATTAGACCTTTGATCTCTTTGCTCCTGGTGTTAGTACCCTCTTGCTCTATCAAATCAGGCTGATCTAAAACTTGAAGGAAACAAGGGAAAAGTAGGAAGTTTAGCACATCTTTATCCTCAGCAGCAACCCCAGGACTGAGAAAAGAGGTTTTGTTAGACCTCCTTCTCTACTAAGCCAGCAGCTTCATGGTTGCCTGACTAGGTGAATGATGTGGAAAGTGTTTTCCTAATAACAAGGGTGATTAGCAATCATGCAGAATTTCTTGAAAGAGGAAGGATGTCTCAAGCTAATTCTAACTTGGCTAATTTCCCCTTGAGCCTTCAATTCCATGTAAACGTTCAACCACAGGGAGTATCCCAATCACCTTATAGCCTAATTCTTGTGACCAGTGGTGTGCTCCATTGATCCTTGAGCATGGTCCCGCTCTATACATGCCCTAGATTATCCATTGTGACAGTCCATGCCTTGGGTTTTTCCAAAACCTGCTTGATTTTTGAGATAAAAGTGTAAAATACTATTACTGCCACAGTAGGATTTTGTTGGAGAAGAAAAAAGAAGATAACAAAAAGGGCATGGGGTGAGCTAGTTGTTTTCTTGATTTTAGGACAAACTATAGAAAAAGTAAAAACACAATTAACATGAGGTTTTCTTAAGCTAGCCTAGAGGTGAATAATAATTTAGCGTCTTATTGCAAGATCTGTGATACCTGTTTCCCTCTTCAGTGGATGCTCTATCCCACATTGCCCTCTAGCGAGGACATTTCCGAGGGAATCGTGCCTTCCAGCTCGCAGCCACAAGGATACAAAATGTGGTATTTTCATAACTGAGGCCACAGCTTGTTTCTGAAATGGTGCTTTGCCATGTGAAGAGGGACAGCATTCACCTCTCCCAAGTGCTGGAGCACGTACCTGCTCTGGCTGCAGCTTTCTTGCAGTTTGCTTTTTGTTTGAGATGACTGCTTCTGCAAGCATCTCCCTGCTGCTGGTGGGTCACTATCCAGGGTCCCTGCTCTCTTCTGCTTTGAAAAAGGGGGAAAATAATCCTTGGGTTTGGATTTTTTTTGTTGGTTTTATTTTGATTTATTATGTTGGTGGGTTTTTGGTTTTTTTTTTTAATTAAGGATGATCTCTTTCCAGAGATTCTTTGCCTTACCCTTTGCTCCATGAAGGACACTTCAGTTCTGTGGTTTTGCTTGTATACACACAGTCTAACAACCCTGCCTGTGGTTTGGAGATCATCATGAGACAAACTTCTCTCCCTCTTCAACCCAACACTGATATATCCAACGGTGTTGCCTAGAGGGTTAGAACTGGTCCTTGTCCTTCTGCCTGCTTAGCCGCATGAGCCTGCATCGGTGCCAAATGACAGCAGCAGCCTTCCCTCGCAGCAGGTCATCCCTGCGGATGTGAACCCTCGGGCAGCTCTGGAGGAGCAGGTTTCTACACCCATGAGCTCTGCAGTGCCAGGTACCAGGCTGTGGGCTGAGGATCCAGGACTGGGAAAGAGGAAGTGCTCAGGTCTGCCTGCCTTTTCCTTCCCCTTACTCCTTCTGGGGTGGGTTAGTAAGACCAGGGCAAGATCATAAATCCTGCT